GGGCCGTGGCAGGGCGCCCCCCCCCCCCCACGCCCCCAGCATTCGTCTGTCTGTCCGCTGCAGCCGCGCTCCCGGAGAACCCAGCGGCCCTGGCGGTGGTGCTGATGTCCATTCTGCTGCTTCTGGCCCTGCTGAGCGCCGCCCTGGTCCTCTACCGCCGGCGAAGGGGCGCGGACCCCGGGGCCTTCGAGGGCGCCCGCTACAGCCGCAGCTCTGCTGGTCCTGGCGAGGCCACCGAGAAGAACATCCTGGTGTCCGACATGGAAATGAACGAGCAGCAGGAGTAGAGCCGAGGGCGGGAAGCGGGGGCTGGAGAGGCCCCCAGCCGGGGTACCCCCACCCACCACCAGTGCAGCGGCAGAGGAGGGAGGCACCCTGGGGAGACTCAGGCAGGCCCGACTGGGCCCCCGTGGGCCGGCCAAGACCTGACTGGGTGCAGTGAGGCGTTTCCTGTTGGGGATGTAAAGGTCTTGTCACCTGGGCCTGTGCCCTCCACGGGCACCAGAGGCAGGACAGGAGCCCCTTCTGCCTCCCTGCTGCTGACCTGCGCCCCAGGACCCCTTTCTCAGTACCTAGCTCCAGGGGCCTCCCCGGAGCCCCCCACCAGCCCGTTGCTTCTCCTCAGCAGCCCCTCCTCCTGAGCTAGGGTCCTGGGCTCGGGGGGATGGAATCAGTCATCCCCGTGTCTGTGGGGGGTGGCAGAAGAGGCCTGGGCTCAGGCTGAGAACCTGCCACCCCAAGGGCTCCACAGAGCTGGAGACAGGACTGGGGGGCACCCCAGCCTTCTAGGGGTGACGGAATGGACAGGGGTGTCATCTCCTGCCAGCCGGGGAAGGCTCTGTCCCTGGAGAGTCCCCTGTGGGGATCCGAGTTAAGTTCCTTAAAGAGTTGTTCCGGGCCCTGGAGGGGGTTTCTCATTGGGGGGTTCTCAGGAGGAGGAAACAGGGGAGCTCAGAGGAGACCCACCCTCTAGCCGGGCCCTGAGGGGCTGACCCAGTGCCTTTCACAGTCCCTCTGCAGGGACAAAGTGAACTGACTCCGAGACATGGTCCTTTCTGGTAGTTCGATGTTTTGTAATGTGCCATTATTGTTTAAAAAAAAAAAAGAAAAAGAAAAAGAAAAGAAAGCAAAGAAATAAAACACCTTTAAGAGGCTTGAGAGCAAAGGGTTCTGCCCTGGCCCGTCCATGGGCCTGCTGGGTCCATGCTGGGTGAGGGTGGGGGGGTTGGGGGGGGGCGCCGCTGCTCGGCCCCAGGTGGGCTCTGCTCCAGAGTGACCCAGCCCACCATGCGCCTCTGTTCCCACCCCCCTCCCTCCATGGCCACTAAGTGCCAGCACCTGAAGTTTACTACCCCAGGTGCCCTCTGCAGCCCTAATGCCTGCTGCTGGGAGAAAATGTGCATGTTGGCTGCCTATATCCTTGGGGGAGGGGGGCTCAGGAGAGGCCCAGCTGGGTGTGGGAACACCAGACCTGCCCACTGTGAGGGTCCTTGGTGCTGCAGGCTGAGGAAGGGAACTCAGCCGGACCCCTTGAAGGTTGTGGCAGAGTGTGGACGTTCTTTGGGGGGCCTGAGGCAGCGATTTGGACCTGGCCCCTGACAGCAGCAGCTGTGCAGTGTGGATGCGAGTCTCCCTGGACTCTGCGGTTCTCCGGGCCACTTCTCTTCGGAGCAGGTACCACTGCCATGGGGTTCTGGGCCGGGCAGCTGTGCCGGGCACACCCCCAGGTTTGTGTCCCAACAACGGGTAAGGGGCCACTTGCTGGACAGGCCCCAGGGAGAATGTGGGTGCGGCTGGGCTGAGCCTGTCTAGTTCTCCAGTGAGTTTAGCGTCCCCTGCCTGTGCTGGGCCAGGGTGGCCATGCCTGCTGTCCAGAGCCCATGGCTGACCTTGGGAGGAAAGGTCAGTCACAGGAAGTGGGATGCAACTGCCCAGCACTGCCTGGAGGTGATGGCCAGGGAGTGTCATTTCAAAATTCCTCCAGAAACCTCTTTTCTCCCACCCGTTTCCTTGCTCAAGCCCCGTTTCCCACCCTCGAGCATTTTAACAGGGCCCTTGGGGCTCCCATTTTAACAGGGCCCTGCCCCTGACTTCTGGCTCTCGGAGGTGTGTGTGTGTGTGGGGGGGGGGGGGGTGGAAGGGGTCTGGAGGAAGGTTCTGGATTCTGGGTCCCTCCCTCAGGCTGCAGACTGCACAGTTGTAGATGGGCCCCTGTCTGCTATTCTTAATTTAAAACTTTTTTCCTTCTGGTTTTGGAGCCACACCCAGTGGTGCTCAGGGCTTACTCTTGGCCCTGATTCAGGTTACTCGGAGTGGGTGTCTGGGATGGAACCTGGGTAGGCTGGGCGAAAGGCAAGTGCCCTTTCCTTTGTGCTACGGCTCAGCCCAGCTTTTCTTCTTCATTGTTGGTTTGTAGTGGGGGATCCCAGGGGCTCAGCCTCATACCTCCGTGTGAGTACCCCACCTCAGCCACCGTCAAAGTCCTAAGGTGTCCCAGCCCCCAAGGACCCATCTGCCCAGCCCTGGGCTGTCCTGTTGACCCTGGGACTTTGGGGCCCCTCAAGGGAACCCCTGAATTGCCCAGATGGCAGCAGGCCTTTCCCTGGCGTCCTGCCAAGCCGGAGCTGGCCATCCCTCGCGAGTCCTGGCAGGGTGGCCTGGCCCAGTGGGCAGCACTCAGAGGCCTGGGGACCGGGAGCCTGCCAGCCACACCACCTGGCACTCTGGAGCTGCCAGCCTGCCAAGGATGGAAGCTGGACCTCCCTAAGGCCACTGGAGGGACCAAGGAAAGAAATGAGGTGGTACTCGAGGCAGGCAGGCGGCGGGTGGTGAGGGGCTGGAGCTGGAGGAAATAGCAGGCACAGGGGAGGGATTTTGTCCCTGCTTGAGCTTTGCCATCATCTGCCATCCATCACCAGCCTCTGGGCCTGTCACTGGGCTCTGCTGGTCACCCCGGTTCTCGGGCCTTCAGGGGTGACCGGAAACCACAGCCCCAGCTTCCATTCAGCACCTTGGTCCCCAGCACTGCCCAGTCAGCCCCTCTCCCATGTCTGCATCCTGTTCTGTTCCTTGGGAGACCCCCTCCTCCAGGTTCCTTCCCCCCACCCCCTCCCCCACAGATTTACATCTGCCTTGCAGCTGTGGTGAGGGTTAGAGACCAGCCCCCCCACCCCTGCCCTTTGTGCCTCTGCAGGAGGTAGTCTGTGACCAGTGAGATGTGGCGGGCACCCTGCATTATCCTGGCACGTGATTGCCAATTGACATTCAAGGTCACATAGGGGTTATGGTGCTTGCCTGGTCTGTGGCCAAGCCAGGTTCCACCTCATGGCATCGTATACACTCCCCAGAGCCCTGGCCACCGCCAAACACGGTCCTTCACCCCCTCCAAAACATATGTTTGTCATGATATCATGGCCAAAGACCCCAAGTCCCAGCCACTGTGCCTCAGTTTCTCCATCTTGGTGTTGTTCCTGACCTGACATAGTCCGAAAAGTTCTTTCAGCCCCAATCTTCATAAACAGGGCTTGTACACGAGCACCCCAGTACTCAGTGATATTCCACCCTCACAACACCCCCCACCCCCTCGCCTCACAGAGAAGCTCCGGTGTGGGTCAGTCCTGGAGTTTCCGAAGCCCCGAGGCCAGGCCGAGGTAAACCCCGGCAGTCTCCGCCCAGAGCTGCTCCTACCCGCTCCTCTTCCTGTGGGTCTGGCCCACGGGGGCTGAGGCAGCCCTGCTGGATTTCCAGGTGCCACCAGGCTTGCAGTCCAGTTTAAAAGTCAAGACTCCCAGGAGACTGGGCTGTGGCTCAGTGGCCTTACCCTGAACACGCTCACTCATTCTCTGGGCCCTGCACCCTCCCAGTACCCCCCCCCCCCCCCCCCATGAAATCAAGAGCAGTTTTATCAGAAAAACTCAGGCTTGGGACTGCGTTTGTGACTGGGGTGTGGGTGGGGACACACGCCTTTGACTTTGGGGCTCGTTGGAGATGGCTCCTCTGGGGACCTAGGCAGCAGTGCTCTGGGGCTCAACCCTGGCACTGTGGAGGTGGTGCCAGGGTTTCAACTTGCTTCCTCACACCCACCAGGTTAGTGGCTTGTCTCTGAGTTATCCTCAAGTCAGGGGTCACTCCTGGCAGTGCTCAGGGACTGGGCCAGGGTCGACAGCGCATGAGGCCAGCGCCTTAGCTCTGCGCTCTCTCCGCCTCAGGAGTGGAGAAATTTCTAATCTGGCTGATTCTTCCGGGCTCTTGGCACATCTGTGTTTTGTTTGTTTGGGCGCCACACACAGCGGTGCTCAGGAATCGCTCTTAGTGGTGCTCAGAGGACCATGTGGTGCTGGGGGTCCGACCCAGGCCTTCCACCATCTCCCCGGCCCAGCATGCGGGTTTGCACGTACCGAGGGTGGTTCCTGCGTCTGTCTCCTCTCCCCGCACACACAGTTCCCTCGCTAACCTCTGACCTTCCTTCACTCCAAGGCTCCATCCGGTCTTGGGGGCCTTAAGACATGAAGTGGGAGTCCCGCTGGATCCTAAGTAAGGGGGACCCGGGGTGGCAGCTGGTCCAGGCTGTCTCAGCCTGTGGGGGTCCTGGACGTATCTTCCCCAGGGGAGAGGCATGGCGGGCGGGCCTCTGAGCTCTGTGGCCTTCCCAAGGCCTGTGTTCAGGCAGACAGGCACAAACGTGAGACAGGTGGTGAATAAAGAGTTTACTGAGTTCGCAGCGCTGTTCCGCTCGGGTGGGGAGGCCTGAGCCAGCATTTCAGCAGAGGGCCTGACGGCCACTGAGCTTGCCAGGGCGGGCGCGGCCCCTTGGACGGGCGGGCGGTGAGGCCCCTGCTGTCTGGGCCTGGGCTGGTCTCTGGCCATGTCCCAAGCAGAGAGCAGCACAGGGTGGCAGTGGCCTCACGGACACACGGGCGTGTTGGGGGCAGGAGGAAGGAGGGGGCAGGGGCACTTGAGGGGCGCCTGTGGGATGGTCCTCCCTAGCTCCGGCTCTCTTGCTACATGACCCGGCGGTTGCTCGGCTGGACCCCGCTTTCCTCTCCCACCTCGTAATCTGGAAGGCAAGAATATGTCTCAGGCTGGAGGGCCGTGGCCGTCGCGGGGTCTGCCAGGGAGGGGCTGGGGCAAATATGCCAGATGCTGCTTCTGTCCAGGGACAGAGTCTGGGAACTCCACACACTGCCCCTGGCCCAAGCCTGCAGTCTGCCCTCGCAGCAGGGGTACAGGCAAAGAGCTGGAGTATGTCCCCCCCTCCCCCAGTCGCGCCCTGCCCCCAACTCCTGCCTCTGAGCCAGTTAGGGGAGTGGAGAGTCCTCAGGGGGGAGGGAGACTGGGGAGGTGGGTGCTCTCCTGGCCACTCTTTCTTCTCCTGGGACGAAGCCTTACTGGGGGCAGGAGCGGCAACACCCACCCCTTCCTGGCCTCTCAGCTTCCCCGTCCCTCACCCTTCCGCTTTTCCTCACAGCGGGTGTATGTGTGTGTGGTGTGTGTTGAGTATGAGTGCGTGAGCATATGTGTGATGCGAGTGTGTGTGACAGTGTGTATATGTGAGTGTATGTGTGTGATTGGGTATGGGTGTGTGTATGTGTGTGTATGTGGGTGTGAGTGTGTGCAGAGTGGGCGTGAGTGTGTGTATAAGAGATAATGTGTGTATGTGTGTAAGTGTATGTGTGTGTATCTGTCTATGTACGTGTGATAATATTTGTATGTGTGTAAATGTATGTGTGAGTGCATGTATGTGTGTGATTGTGTGTGTGTGTGTGTGTGTGTATGAGTGTGTGTCCTGCTCTGGCCTGCTCTTTCTCCCACCCTGTCCACACTGGTCTCCATGGCTCCCAGCCCCTTGGGGCTTAGCTGTGGTGACAGCCATTTGTGCCAGTTGGGAAGCAGCTGCCTTTGGTGGCACCTGTGTGTAGTCTGCACTTTAGATAAAGGGGAGGGGCACGGCAAGCAGGCTGGCACGGGCGCCACAGGGACACAAAGATGTTGGCACCTCGCTGTGCCACCTGGTGTGCCCTGGTGCCGAGCCTTCCCCGACAGGATGGCAGGTCACAGCTGTGACTCAGCTCTGGCGGCAGGTCTCAGCCAAACGCTGCCAGCCAGGTGAGTCACGCCAGGTTCTGGGGACCGAAGTGTGCTCGGGGTGCCCCCCCCCCCCAAGATCCGCCTGGGGCCGCCCTGGGTCCTGGCTGGTGGCCCTGGCAGGAAGCCAGGCAGAGGCTGCAGGCACCAGCTGCCAGGATGGGCGCTCGTGCGGGACGCGGGTGCGAGCGGCTGGGCCCTGGGGCTGGCTCCTGGGTTAGGATTCCTGAAGAAGGGGGGCGCAGCGCCCTGGCACGGAGCACCCCTTTCTAAGCACCACCCCGGGATTGCTTTTCTGCTTCCCAGAGACATTCATTGCCCCGCTGTCCCTCTGCAGAGAGAACCCCACTGTCCCTCTGCACAGCATCCCCATGACCCCCTGCATCGTGAGCCCCCGTGTCCCTCTGCTCAGCCTCCCCCTACCCCGTGCCTCACTGCTCCCCCGGGGAGGCTCTCGGGCCGCAGTCCGCAGAGCCCCGCTTTGGGCACTAGGGGTCGCCCTTGGCCGGCCGAGGCCTCTGGGCGCGCCCTGAGCGGGTCCCGCGCCGCTGCGGAGAAGGGCGGGAAGGGCGTGGCCGAGCCTGGACACCTCGGGGTCCTGGCGTGGGGCCCGTCCTGAGCCGGGCTCAGCATCTCTCTGCAAAGGCGGGGTCCAGACCTGCGGGGCTGCCGAGCGCGCCGTGGACACAAGAACCTCACAGACCGCCCCCTCCACGTCCCCCCTTCCCCCCCCCCCCCCCCCCCCCCCGCTGTACTGAGCCCCCGCGGGTGTTCCAGGGACCCCTGCTCTGAGAATGGCCCCTGCCGCTGAGCCATAAACAAGGGGCTACCCTAGGGTCCGCGGCCTTGGGCCCCCCAGGCCCAGCCTGTCTGACCACAGAATCTGCATTTATATGCCCCCTATCGTCCCCCACATCCCTGTGTAGCCCCAGAGCCCCCCAAACCCAGGAGTCCTACGGCTTGAAGGAAAGTGGGGCAGGGAGCCCCTATTCTCAACCTTCTGCATCAGCAGTTGTCAAATTCCTACCAGGAAAGCCTGTGGGGACACAGGAGCCCAGGGAAGTGGAGTGCCACAGCCTTCTGCCAGAATTAGGGGTCCCGTGGGCCCCATGCAGAGCACTGTCCCGCAGAGGCGGCTTTTTGGCAGGTTGGGGGTGGGGTGGGAAGCGGGAGCATGGTCCCTGTCACTGGGTTAACTGCCCAGACACTTGCCTGGGCTGGTGAAAGAAAATCCAGGTCACTGGCCAGGACCCCCGACTCACCTAAGCAGCCCCCTCAGAGCTTCTCCAGGTCCCGGGTGGAGAGCCCCAGGGGGCAGGGATCACGTGACCGCCTGGGGGGGCTTTCTGTTGCTGACAGGAAGAATTAAAATCCTCATCTTGACTTTCCCACAGGGACTCGCCCTTTCCAACAAGCTGGTCTGCCTCTGCATGGAGTCACTCCTTCTTCCCCCAGGTTCAACACCGCGACAGCCCAGTGAACCAACATCCTCAAACCCAGCAGGACCGACCCCCCCACAACCTACTTTCATTTTCTTCCGGTCTGGGTTGTGTGTAACTTCTTGACAACTATGAGAAAGGAGACAATGAGAAATGAGTTGTTTTCCCAAGGTAGCTGGGAACAGCTGTGTGGCTGCCCTGAGTCTGAGGATGGTGCCAGGACTCCTGGGTCTCACCTGGAGCAACAGGGGAACAGGGCGAGGCTAGGGGAGCCCGGGTAGCACCGGTCCTCAACACCCAGGGCTAAGGTCACCTTCATGGAGCAGAAGGGCTCTTTCTGGCGGGGTGGTCAGCCTCCTCTTCCTCACAGCCACCCGTCAGGAGCCGCAGGGGTGAAGGGCAATGCTAATTGGCCACTTGCCTCACTGCTGGCTTTTAAACAAGCGCTTGTGTTCTCGGCCAAGCAGGAAGCAGGAGGGCCCACTGAGGCGCTCGCTTCCTCTTTGTTCTGGCTTTCTGGCATTTGGAACCACAATGAGAATCACTGTGCCCCCCCCCCCCCCCCCCCGTGAACCCACTGTGCCTGGGCTCGGGGTATGGACCCCCAGAACACTGTCCCCCAGAGGAGGGGCTTTGTAGCAGGCTGGGGTTGGGAACAGGAGCATAGGCCCCTGTTGCTGGGGCAACGGCCCGGCCAATGTGGAGGCAGCTTGAACCCGGAGTCTCTTTCCGTGCCCAGGATGGATGTGGTTTCTTCCAAAGAAGCCATCCTGGTGGCAGGCAGTGGGGTGGAGAGACCGGGCATGGAGCTGAGCTTGGCGAAGGCACACTGGGACCCCTGGAGTAGGGGAGTTTCCCCAGATGGCTTCCTGTATTTGGGGGTACAGTTGGCCCACTGAGGCAAGAGTTTTTGCTTTCAGAGGAAAAGTTCATTCAGTCTCTGTAGGAGTGAACTGGTGAGGCGGGGGAGTTCCTCTCAGGGCCTGCCTGTCCCCTGCTTTCACGGGGTGAAGGGGACCCTAGCACTCTGGGGCTCCTGAGGGCTGGAGTGTGGGCTGACCTGGGGAAGCCCATTCCAGGCCCTCCTCTGTACGGCTGCCCCATTCTCTCAAAATTGTAAATCTAGACCAGGCCAGTGACCCTTCGGGCTTTCCACAGCTGCCCCCAGCCCCCTAGGGCTCACTCCTGGTGGGGCTTAGGGGACCATATGGGGTGACAGAGTTTGAACCCAAGACAAGGGCCTTGCAAGGCAAGGGCCTTCCCCACTGTGCTATCTCCAGACCCCAGTTCCCACTTTTTCTCATGACAAATGAGAAACAGCACTAGCAAGCTTCATTGCTTGGCTCCACCCCACAGACACCCCCAGACCCCTGGTGATGTCCCCTGAACTTTAGGGTAAAATAGCAGCAGGGGCCCTGGTGTATTTAAGCTGTCTTCTTTGGGACAGTCCTCGCTGCACGGGTGTGTGTTGTGTACGAGTGTGTGCGTGAATGTGTGAGTGCATGTAATTGTGTATGAGAGTTTAAGTGAGAGTGAATGCTTTGAGAGTGTACGTGTGTGTGCATGCGTGCAAGTGTGTGTGAGCATAGGTGAGTGGGTGTGAGTGGGTGAGAGTGGGTGGGTGAGAGTGTGTGAGAGTGACTGGGGGTGAGTATATGGGTGAGAGTGAGTGTGGGTGATGGTGTGGGTGAGAGTGTGAATGAGAGTGAGGGTGGGTAAGAGTGAGTGTGGGTGAGAGTGTGGGTGTGTGGGCGAGAGTGAGTGTGAATGCGTATGAGTCTGCCAGTGTGTGTGTGAGAGTGCATATGGTTGGGTTTGAGAATGTGAGTGACTGCGTTTGAGTGTGAATGAGTGTGTGAGTGGGTGCAAGTGTGAGTATGTGTATGTTTATGTCTGTGGGTGCGTGTGCCCCTGACTCTGCTGATGGTGTTTTGGTGGATAGCTGGCCATAGGCCCCCTTACTTGACTGGCCACTGACACCCTTATTGACCGCGTATGTTTAATGTGAGCTATTTGGTGGTTGTCACTCTTTGGCCAAAGGGCCACTGTGTATCCACCCAGCTGCCACTAAGTCTCCGTCCTCACATGGCCCGTGTCCTGTCCCACCAAGTGACCATGGAGCTCTCACCAGCTTGCACCCAGGGTCTGGGTTGACCCTACTTACCCTCTCTATGTTGACAAGGTTCGAGTTGAGTCTCATGAGTGCTGCAAACCTCTGCTCGTAGAGGTGAAGCAGGAGCACCAGGTACAAGCCCGAGTTCATCAGCTGGTTCTGTACCTGTGCAGGGGGAGACAGCGCTGAGGGTCCTTGGAGAAGTGGGCACATCTGTGAAGCGGGTCAGGCAAATACTCCGTGGGCTGGAGTGTGGCTTATGTTCCAGTAGCCCACGGCCCTTGAGCACCACAGTGTCGGGAGAAGTAACCCCTCAAACATAAGGTTCACGCAATACAGCATGCGGGGACTGGGCTTTGGAGAAGGAGAAACAGATGGGTGCCCACAGCCCGTGGCCAGGCCTGACCTGGGCTGGTGCAGAGACTGGCAGCCACAGGAATCCTTACCCACCTCAGCCCAAGGGTGCCCTGGAAAAGCTCCAGGCCTGGGACCGTCAATGTTCAGTGGGCAGAGCAGGGCATGTGGGAGGGATGCCCGGTGGGGGAGCTTGGTCAGCAGTGATGGGGGGAGGCGGGGAGAGGGGGACGTGGGGGCAGGGAACCCTTCAGGAGGGGGCATGTGTGTGCCCTCCTGGAGTGGAGGTGGTGAGGGGTGCTGGGGTCGTGCTCATGGAGGGGGCACAGAGGAAGGTAGGCAGTTGTCCCTTTCCTGGGGTGCCTGGACCATCAGGCTCGGGTCTTTGCTCTGGAATTTTCACTAAAGTGTTGCAGAACTGAGTGTGTTGTGGAAGGGTACTGAGGGGTAGAGAGGGCCTGGATGCCTGTGTGTGTGTGAGCTGCTGATGCCAAGGCAGACGCTGCGACACGTGACTGTGCAGCAGGCCTGCCCGAGGGGCCAGCCTGGGCCGTGAGGGTCCTGCATCAGGGGAGCCTTATTCGCTGAGGTCCCAGTTTGCGGAGTTCGTTTCTGGTTTTTCTCACAGAGCCCCACCCCACCAGGAGGAGCTCTTCCCAGGTTACCCAGGACTGGGGCCTTCCCCCACGGACTTGTTTTGTACCCCCTGCCCCCATTTAAAAAATTTGGGGGCCACATCTGGAGATGCTTAGGATTTACTCCTGCTCTAGGCTCAAGTATCATTTCTGGTGGCCTCGGGAAACTCTATGGGATGCTGGGGATAGAACCTGGGTCAGCCACATACAAGGCCAGTGCCCTATCTGCTGTGCTTTCACTTTAGTCCCCCTGCTCTGTGCCCCCAATTTTTTTTCTTTTTTTGGGTCACACCTGGTGACGCACAGAGATTACTCCTGGCTCTGCACTCAGGAATTACTCCTTGCGGTGCTTGGAAGACCATTTGGGATGCTGGGAATCGAACCCAGGTTAGCTGCATGCAAGGCAAACGCCCCACCCACTGTGCTATCACTCCAGCCCTCTGTGCCTCCCCTTTTTTTTCCACATTGATTACATTCATTATTTCGACAAAAGATGCACCATTATTGTTTAGAATTTCCCCTCCAACAATCAGAATTGCTGAAAAGGCATTGTGAAATACTTTGTTTTCTATAGCTGGTTATGAGAATCATATAATGTCACGTGGACGCGATTTTGGATTTCTACAAAGAGCCAGATAATTACAAGATTGATTTCTGTGCGTCTGATGTTATGGCTGTGCTAAAGAGCCGCTCGTGGGGGGCAACTCGTGACCTCAGTAGGGTGTGAAGGACGAGCCGGTACTGCCCCCCTTCCCATGAGACTGCAGTTGCCCCATCACCGCCGGCTCATATTTGGCTTTCCAATAAGCTCTGAGGCAGCGGCCACCTTGTATGCGGTCAAGATGCATATCTGCCAAAAGCCACGGGGTTTCGAGATTTGTTTCTGAGTCTCTGGGATCATGGCCATTAAGCAGCTTGATCAGGAGCCAGAGAGGCCATTTGTAGGCGGCGACTCGGGGTCTCACTGGGATGAGGAGGAAAGGGCCGGTTCCAACCACATCTGGTGTTGCCCTGTGTGTCTCATCACTGCAGGCCCAAACCTGACTGTCCAGTGGCCTCTGGAGGATGGCGGTCACCGGTCTGCCAGGGGGAACAGGCCAAGGCACAAAACCTATTCCCACCTGGAGTGGCCCAGCGCCAGTAACCTACTGCAGGAACAGGACGCATTTCTGCCAAAAGTCTTTGGGTTCCAAGATTGGCTTCTGAGGCTCTGGGATCATGGCCATTAAGCAGTTCAATCAGGAACCAGAGAGGCCTTGCCTCCAATTATATAGCTGAGCTGGAGGTGGTTTGTGGGTGTGTCTCCCACATACCTAACTTTTGGCCGTTTACTTTCTTGGTAAACTTTGCCCCAAGTTTTTGGGGTCTGGCCAAAAGCACAGCAGCAGTTTTGGGGTATCTAAAAGTCTGACAGTGCCATCAGGCTGCTGATGCACTCGCCTCACAGGTACAGATTGACCTGCTGGCAGCACCATACCCCCTTCTGTGCCCCTTTTGGAAGGCCCCTCTCCTACCTCCTTTTCCAGGTGACATCTTCCTGACCATTGATCATCCCCATCGTCACTGTCCCTTCTGTCCACCCTACTGGCCTCTGTGCTCCTTTGGGCTTTCCTCTGGGTGGGGTCTGTTCCTTCGCTCCATGGGGTGAGGGTAGGCCGGTCTGGCCTGGATGCCTGGGGCTGCTGTGCTGTCAGGCCTGATCCTTGCACTGTCCTGGACTGCCAGGAAGTCAATGACCTCATCCCCTTCTGTCCTGTGGGTGGGTGTGGGGGCTCCCGGGATGGAAGTGTGGGGACTGAGTTCCCAAACAGGAAGACTTGGCATGGTGACCTTATCACCTTCCTCCCACGGCAAGCCCGCAGTGCCTCCTGAGCCTGTGTCCCAGGCCCGTCACCCGGAGGCTCAGGAAGCAGGCCCAGAGCATCCTTCCATGATGAAGCCGCCGAGGAAGGGAGGGGCTCACAGAGCTCTACTTGCTGAACTGGGACAACTCTTGGGGACACAGGCCGAGAGGTGACCTAAGCTCCAGTTCCTTCCACCTTTAACAGCTCCAAGCAGGGGCCAGAGAGATAGTACAGGGGTTAAGGTGCTTGCCTTACATGTGGCATCCCATGTAGTCTCCTGAGCATTGCCAGGTGTGACCCCTGAATTACATGGGGTGTGGACCAAAAACCAAAATGAAACAAAGCGAAAGGCCTCTCCGCCCGTTTTCAGCCATGTTCTCAGGGCTCCCCTGCCGTAGCCAAGAGCAGGCAGAGGAAAATGCTTTATCCACTGTTCTTAGCCCCCTCTCACCATGGCCTGGCGCCTTCCTTCAAATCCATCCCTTGTGCCGCCTCCTCCAGAAAGCCTTCCTGCCCCCTCCTGTTGAGTGCCTTCCTGGGCACCAAGCCTGGTGTCAGGCGCATCCCCTTGGCCTTGGGCATCATCCCCTGGTAAGCCTCGAAGTGAACCCCAATGCTCGATGGCAAATCAATTAGCTGGAACCTGGCAGGGAACTATGGGGCTTGTCAAAGCGCTCAGGGAAACCGTCTGCGTTTATGACTCAGTGAGGCCCGGAGGCATGCAGATGGGGAAATATCCACTAATGTTTTCTGCAGATAATTTGGAGAGTCGCTCCTAGCAGGCTGCATCTCCTCTCTGGGCTGTGGGAGGGAACCTGTCACGAAGCCCCATAAATTGCGGCCGGCTCCTCTCTGTGCGCCCTTCACGGGGCACCTGGTGCGGGGCCGGCCCCTCGGAGCCTGCGTTTCCCATCATCCCCTTGCAGCCCCCTTTGAGGGATATGACCTAGAGGTGGTGCCATGTGATTTGGGACTCAGCTTTGGAGGCGACTCACCATCCACCCCTGCTCTGGTCACACTTGTGAACCCGTGTGCAGTGTGGGGCACATTTGGGGGAAGACATGGGAACCCCCCACCCAGCACCCTGGAGTACTAGCCCACTTCTCTCTCTCCTGCCACCCCTCCCTGCCACCGCGGCACCGCCCCCCCCCCCCCACCCCAATTCATTTTGTTCTTATTCACTTCAACTGGGAGCTTGACTCCGTGTGGAAATTCTCCATCTAACCCACGCAAAGGAGCAAGCAGCCTGGGGTGGGGGTGGGGAGGCTCAATCAAGCCTTGCAGTATGTTCCAGAGACACTCCCGGCTTTGAGGGGGGCGAGGGGACAACAAGTGTCCAAGCACATCCATCTGCAGCTGAGCCCCAGTGGGGCCGGGCAGCAAGTTACTGCTGGGTGGAGCACCCCACTCTGCCCTGCACCCCCTTCCACCATGGCTATGGACCCTCACACCCTGCTTCAGCAGAATCTTAACTGCGTGTGGCCTAAGGGGACTCCATTTATAGAAAGGCAGGCACCAGCCCTGCCTGCTCTCGCCCTCGCCCTCAAAGCGTTAAGGTAAAATGAGTTTTTAACTGTGGACACGGGGACATGGGCTCTCCCCAGAACCAATCACCCTACCCCCAGGCAAGAATCCTAGACACAGTCAGGTCAGGTGTCCGGATGTGAGATGGGGAGCTTGAAGAAGCCAACTGCCTCCTTGCTCCAGGGTCCCTGTGCCCGGCTGTGTCTGCTCAGGGGTGTGGGGATGGGATGGCAGAAACATCTCATTCGAGGTCAGATGACAGACGGCTCAACCATGACTTTTGACTCTAGTGGCACCAAGTCTAACTACCAGGCATCAGAATGGCTAGCGAGGCTTTGTCCAATGCAGTCACTTTTCAATACCAGTGGCCCCCTCCACGCTGAATCCCTCTCCACGCCAAGACCATGCTGATTCATTCGGTCCTGGGTGGGAGCCCCAAAATGTCCTTCCCCCCACTAAGTTTTTAATTAAATCACTTTGAGGTAGACAGTTACAAAGTTGTCCATGATTGGGTTTCATTCATACAGTGTTCCAACACCCGTCCCTTGCCCAGTGCACATTTCCCACCACTGATGTCCCCAGTTTCCCTCCTTCCACCCCCCACTTCCAGTCTGCCTCTATGGCAGACCCCCCCGCCCCCCCCCCCCCCCCGCCGCTTCTCTCTCTCTGGGCATTATGGTTTGCGGTACAGGTACTGACAGTTTATCATGTATATCCCTTTATCTACTTTCAGCACTCGGTTCTTGTCCAGAGTGATCATTTCCAACTGTCAAGAATGTCCCTTTCTAACAAGATCCCAGCGCCTGCCACTGCCTGGGTGCCTCCCATCTGTGAGAACTTCTGCTCCAAGCTGATGGCTGATAAGTGGTCCTCTAAGCATGAATAGCCAGGAGTGAGCCCTGAGCACTATCGGATGAGGCCCCAAACCACCTAAACTAAAAAAGCTAAACTTCCAGGTTATGTGGTTTTTGCTACACTTGAATAAAACGTAATACCTGGCCTCCGGGAGGCTTTTTTTCTCGCTCTCCTTCCTCCCCTCCATTTATGCCGCTGCTGCCATGTACACACTCCTGCCTGAGGGCACTCACCTGGAGCCACACCCTCACTTTGGTGGTGCTTGCTTACACACACCTGGCAGTTTGGTGTGTGTGTAAACGCTTGTAGCATGAGGCTTACAGACTGCATGGCGGCCGGGCTCATACAGCAGAGTTGCCAGGATTTGCTACTTGCATTATGTAGAACACCCAGGATTTGAACTCATGACCTTACGTTTGCAAGGTAAATGATCTAAGTCACTGAGTTTATTCCTCAGCAAAGGTTTTGGTGGTGCTGGGGATCAAACCCAGTTCTCATGCATGTAATACATGCTCTTTGCCACTGTGCTCATTCCCTAGCCCCACCTGAATGTATTATTTTGGTTTGGGGCTGGCCCCAGCTATGTTCGGGAACCATATGGTATCAGGACTAAAACCCAAGGCCGTACACATGCAAGACAAGTGCTCTGCTCTGAGTCACAGTCCCAGCCTATATTTGGTCTAATTTAATTTGTGTGTGTGTGTGTGTGTGTGTGTGTGTGTGTGTGGTGCTGAGGATTGAATTCAGATCTAATATATGCAAAACATGCACTTGACCATTGAGATAAATTCCAGCCATGTACCAGCATTTTAAAGGAAAAACAAACCAAATGGTGCAACTTAATAACAGTTTTGATTATAGAAGTTTTTTTTTTCAAGGATCCAAAAACAGTCCTCAAGTGACCCAGGGGCCTATCCGGTGATTCCCAGGAAACCAGGTTAGTCAGTGCAAGGGCTCTGCAGTGCCAACAAACACTCAGGTGAGCCCAGTGATGTTTAGGGCTTCCAGGGCTACACCTGGCAGAGCTCAGTGCTGGGGACCAAATCAGGGTCAGCCATAAGAAGACAAATGCCTCACCCCTGTACTAGCTCTTGAGCAATTATGCAAGAGTTTTGAGTTCATGATGTTATAATCAAAGATGAGCAAAATAAAACTCTAATGGGAGGTGTCTGGGGAGATAGAACAGTGGGTAGGGTGCTTGCTTTGCATGCATTCAATGTGGGTTCAATCCGGGTACCCAATATGGTTCCCCAAGCCCACCAAGAGTGATTCCTGAGCATAGCCAGGTGTAGCCCCAAAACCAAAATAAAAATCTAATAAGAACCTGTGCCACCATAAATGAGTTGGCTGACCAGTTGAGACTCAGTGAAAATTGGATGAGCGGAACTCAGTTTTAGGGTTCCAGAGACCTATTTTCTCTGAAAGGGAGTGAACAGCACTGATGATGGCTGAGATCATGGGTCCAGATGAGACAAACTTTGGGAGCTGGGGGTTGGGCTCATATATGGGGGGGGGCATGCCAGGCAGGTTTGGAAGGTCTCTCCACTAATGAGCAAAGTGTGTATCACACGCTCGACCTTGGTGTTTTGGGAGCAGTTGCTGTGGTTATTATTCTTGGAGAACCTCCCCCAAGTCCCGGGTGACACGGCTTTCTGAGACTGTGTTTGTCGTCAGCTTTCGCAACTGGTGGGTCAGCACCCAGGTCTGACCCATGTGGGCCCTCATCAGTTCTGTTCTCTCATGCATACACGTGGTCCTGGGGTGCCACACTTTCTCCCTGGTGTCCGCTGGGTGCCTGGAAGGTGGCTCTTCTTGGTCTCAAGTGTCTTCTCCGCACTTCTCTGGCATCCGGTTCTGTGAGGCCTAACCCCTCATTGGCCATATATGACGTGAGCACTGAAGTCCAGAGTGCTGGTGTGGCTTCCTCTGGGTGAGATGCTGACTTGGTGGGGGGGGGGAATGCTAAGATCTAGCTCCATATCTCAGTCAAAGTCGGGTGCTTTTGGGCAGGGGGAGCTGGAGGCTGCCTCTGGCCATGTGAGTATAAGCTACCGGGCAGAGGTGCCATTAGTGAGTCAGTTCTACAAACATCACAGCATGACAGGGAAGTATGGCAGGGAAGTGCTCAGATCCAGTGGGCATGCCTGGGGGCCAAAGCGATAGTACAGTGAGTAAGGGACTTGCCTTGCACACAGCTGGTCTGGGTTCGACATCCCATATGGTCCCCCGAACACTGCTAGGAGTGATCCCTGAGCACCACTGGCTGTGGCGCCCAAACAAGAACCAGTGGGCATTGCCTGGGCTGCCTGATATCTGGGAGGTGGGCACGGTGGGCAGGGGTGTTCCAGGGAAGCTGGTCTCCTCTGGACATATCCTTCCAAGGGCCACTGCTGACGCTGCATTTCCTGTAAAAATCCATTCTCTGACATGCTTCCTGGAATCTGTCAGCACCCACAGGCCCCCAACCTCCTGAGATGTGGGGCCCTCATTGTATTGCCTCTGAGTCTGCAAGGCGATGGCTGATCAAGCTGCGACTCTGAGGACAGACAGACTCCCAACACCAACTTCCTTTCTGAGGGAGCCCTTTTTCCTGCCTCTCTTCCACTTGCTGCTTCCTGGGCACTGTGGCTGTTCCGTCCTGGTCTCGGCTGCATGTTCAGTTTCCGTTCAGAAGGGAATTTCGTTCTTTGGTCCAGCAGCCTGAGGATTTTTGGAAGAATAGCCACAGATCCACCCAGACTTGTACCTGTGCCATCTTGCCTTTTGTCGAGAAGCTTGGCTGTCTCACGGCTCAGGGGATGCCACCTTTGAAGGATGGTTTTTTTTATTAGCTGTCACACCAGAATCCTGCAGGTTTAAAGTGATGTGCTTCACAGGAGGATGAGTCAGAATTTCTTTATTATTGTTTCTCTGTTTGGTGCTCCTGTAAGGATTGGGCCCCACCCAGGACCTCACAGTGCTTTAGCCGTGAAGGTCCCCCACTCCGGGCTGCAGTGCCCAGGTAGTCTCCAACTGGGCTGTGGGCACCAGGATACCATCAGCAGAGCTGCAAGCATCATTCTGCCATGTAGCGTGGGCCTGGGGCTTAGACTTGGCTCACCAGCCTCACGCTGAGCTATCCGGACACCCCAATCACTTTTTCTAGTGATTATTAGAATCACTATGGGAGGTGAGTGGTGTATAATCTTAAAGATAATGGTAAGAAGTAGTTATTTTCATTTGATAAATTTTTGTGGCTTATTTGATGCAGGACACTAGGTTAACACTAGCCTGGGGAAATGAACCATGAGCCACAAAGTCAAGCCATGCCTGTGAATCAGAAATTCCTAATAGTGGGGCTGGAGTGATAGTACAGTGGGGAGGATGCTTGCCTTGCATGCAGCTGACCTGGGTTCGATCCCTGGCATCCCCGAGCACCGTCAGGAGTAATTACTGCGTGCAGAGCCAGGAGTAATCCCTGAGCATCGCCAGGTATGACCCAAAAAGCCAAAAAATATTTCCTAGTTAGGCACATGAGAGAAACAAAAAGAAACGGGTGAAACTCATTTTAGTAATGTATCTACTATACCCAAATGTTTGTCATCTCAATATGAAATGTATCTGAAGTGGTGATATGGTCCAATCCTTTCTCGGTAGCCTCACTTTGGGTATGACTGAAACACTTCGAGTCCATGCACATTGGAAGTGACTGCTGGCCACCCACAGCTGGGCCATGACATCCGTACTGACAAGGCAGCTCTGAATAGAAGGGTATTAGCCTGTGCATTAGGCTATTCAAGACTGTTATCTTGAATAGGATAACGCCTTCTCTCAGGCCCACCTGAGTAGAAAAAACTCTTCACAGCAGTGGAAACATAACCCAGCGCCCTGGAATATTCATTCACCAGAAGCCAAAAGAGCCCCCAGGGGCCAAAGTAATGGTCTCAGACTTGGGGTACTAGTCCTACATCCCATGGACCCTCTTTGAATCTCCTGCGCCATGTGTGGGTCAGTCCCGAGCACAGAGCCAGAAATAGCTGGTCTGGCCCCCAAAGGAAAACAAAAACACACAGTAGGTGTGTTGAGAATGTTTATTCACCTTGAAGCCATTTCCTAGAGTTATCTGATGTATAAGTTCTCTGAGACTGATTAAAAAAACAAACTGGAGGTGTCACAAACAAATTGTGGTGTTGGTGTTGGGCGACACAGTTGGGTTGTGTTGTACTAGAGGGCCTCACACTTGGCGGTGGTCCTGAGGGGGGGGGGTCACACCCAGCTGTGCTGGGGGTCACTCTGGGTAATGTGGGAATCTAACTCGTGACCTCATACCTCTGCCACTGAGCCCCGTCTCCAGGGCCCGAGACCCTGGCCTTATTTTCCTTTGCTATTCAACCAAGACAGCGTCAGTAAAGTAGGGCAGCGGACTGGTCAGACACGGTGACCTTCATGTGTCCACTTCAGCCAGAGCAGCTTCCTGCTTTTATCCCCGACAGCTGCTGGTCAAGTCTTTGCCCCCCTCCAGGGCTCCAATTTAGTAAGAGGCCTCGTCTGAGGAGTGAGTCCAACTGTCTCCCCAGCCCACTAGCCCAGGCCTTGGCCATCTGTGCCTCAGGAAGGGCCGTCTACACACCTGGCCGGCAGGCGCAGGGCCCAGCCGCTTACCCGGAACTGCTGGTGCTTCTGGAAGAACTCGGTCATGTTGAAGTCATCTGGGTTGATGAGCAGGCCTTGCTTACACATCTCACAGGTCTTCACGGAGCCCAGGTCTGCTCCTGAAACCAGAGAGACAACTCTGTGGGTCCGGGGCTTCTCCGTGACAACCCTTGGGGTGTTGGTGTGTTGCCATCGGGGAGGGAGCTCTGTGTGTCTGTGTAGTGACTTCTGGGTTGTAAAAACCATTTATGTTTTTCTGATGCCAGGCATCAAACCCAGGGTCTCACTCAGACAAGGCACGGGCTCTGCCACAGAGCCTTATTCCCAGCCCGTCAGTGGCCTTCTTTTTTATTTTTATGATTTTATTAAAAAGAATGTTTTTGAGGGGGGTGGGAGGAGTGTGCCTGTTAATGTTCAGGGCTTACTCCTTGCTCTTCCATCAGGATTTACTCCTGGCAGTACTTGGAGAACAACATGGGATGCCGGGGATCGAACCCAGGTCAGGTGCATGCAAGGCCAGCAACTAACCCACTCTACTATCTCTCCAGCAAACTCCGCCCCCCGCCCTGAGTTTGTTTTTGGCTTACACTCGGTGGTGATTGGGGGTTCCTCCTATCCCAGTGCTCGTGGTCACTCTAGCCCAGTGAGCTCACTCTCTGGCTGGCGACCTTCTTTTCAAAGCCAACCATCTTCTGGGAAATGACCTTGACTCTGAAACCTGAACCGGTTCCTTGGCACTCCATTTCATTGTTATGTAAACTTCCTATAGAACCCGTGACTGTGGGAGCAGGTCCTGCGCTCTGTTTCAGTATAAACAACACACCCCGATGCCTACATCCAAATCACCAGCCGGAGAGGCCCCGCGTCCCTGGACAGGTGTCTGCCCGTTGCCAATTGGACAGAGGTTTTCTGTCCACCTACCAGCTCTAAGCCAAGAAAGTGGGGGCAGGGGTAGGCTGTGATGGCACAAGTTGCCCTGACACTGTGGCTCTAGAGTGGCCCTCCCTGCGTCAGAGGAGCCTGGGAACATGAGAAAGTCCAGGCTGTCGACGCGACCAGGCCACCTTGCATGCGAGTAGACTCTTTCTGGGAAAAGAAACAACAGACGCTTCCTTTGTGACTATTCTATTTTGAAAACGAGCCTCTAGATCAGCGTTTTTTTCCCTTCTGCTTTTCCTGTGCCCAGAAGTGGCTGGGCCGTCTGTGGCTATGCATGTGAGCAAACCTTGCAGCCGGCACCTTCCCCTGTAGACGCGGGGGCTGCTTGGTGGCAGAGGATGGCATTTCGGCTGTGCATTTGGAAACACAGGATCCATCCATAATCTGAGATGGGGCTGGTGCAGTTTTCAGAGCCCAGTGCTACCCACTTTTCCCCACCGGAGCTATGAAAAAAAAAAAACAATGAAGCATTTCAAAGGGGTCTGGAGGCTTGCTTGCTTGTTTGTTCCTTAGCATCTCACCGCCAGGCCTTAGGCTGGGAGGGTCTCACAGAACTCCAACCCTTGCTTGTGTGCTCATATAAACAGGGACGAGCTGGCATTTACCAGCAGTTATTAGCAGCACTTTCACCACACATTTCATGGGTGATTTTTTTTTTCCTCCCTGTGCTAGATGTTTAATTGGCCCAAATTTCTAGTAAGATAAAGCATTGCCTGGCAGAGTCATTAGCGGTGATGACAGCCAGCATTTTCTTTGCTCTCTGAAGGCCTGAGTGTTCTGGGGTGGGTTGGGGGCGGTGCATCCAGGCTCCGGTGTGGGTGTGGGGGGCCCTTGGCAGCAATGATGACTGGGGGGAAGAAGTAGGAAGAGGGGGAAGAATGGGATCTGGCTCGGGGCTAAAGCACTTGGAGAGGGCTGGGTCCGAGACAGCAGTTTGCTCTTTGCCTGGATGTCTGCAGTGCCCTGTCTCTCATTCCTAAAGCTATGGGCTTTGTTTGTTTGCTTGGTTCTAACCCTCCTCCCCCCAATACCTGAGGCTTTACACAGGGAAGTCAAGTGCTCTAGCTCTCGGCTCCAACTCTGGCCACCCAAAACCATCTTTTAAAGGAATCTCCTGCTCTGCTGAGAAAACCAGGGTCGGCCTGGTAAGGAGGCTCCCAACAGGGAGGATGGGCGTCCCCCCAGGCACGAAGGCAGCTCTGGGGTGGCTTATCCCAGTGGGGCCTGGGAGCCAGGCGGCCCCTCCCCTCGTGGCCCTCCTGCACAGAGGCAGCTTTGCTCTGTGTCGTGGGTGACCCCCCCCACCCAGCCATCCCCCGCAAGAGAAAGGAAGCAGAACAGCATGGCCAGCATCCTTGGTTTGATCACTGAGCACCCTGGTCTCCTTTCTCCTGGGAGGTCAATGTGGCTTCTCCAGCCTGGGTAGAGATTAGCTGTCTTTGATTTGGGGACCTTCTCTCAGTGTTTGGGATGAAAATAAGCCCCTCCCCTCCCCTAATCTGCACAGAGCGGACTCGTGTGGGGGCTGTGGGCAAGCGAGCTCGGGAGGAGGGTCTGCGGCTGTCGACTGCCGGGCCCAGCCCACCCTCGCTCCCGTCTCCACCTACCTGATGTTATTTTCACTTTGAGCCACGTTTTCAGGCACTCTTGGTGGACAAACTGCAGGCTTCCCACACAGGCGCATGGCTCCAGGAGGGGGTTGGCCGGGGACCCTCCGGGGATCTGGCAGATGCGGCACAAGTCTCCCTCCTCTTCCGAGTCCTCCTCCAGGAGACTAAGGGACAAGCAAGCCCCGGGACCGGGAGTCACACAGTGCTCCTGGGCATGTTGGGGGAAGGTCTGGTGGCCTCCCCGCCATTCTCCCAGGGCTCCCCTACCCCCACCCCGCTGCTCCCTTGGACCCTCTCGATCCTCCTTGGGTGGCTACTGCCCCTGCCACCCCATTCTTCCATAAGGCTCCTTCCCCGACAACCCGCACGGCACCCACAGATGGAGGGCAGGGCCTCTGCAGGGACAGTGGGACCCTCCCCCTTGCTGCCCCCACCCCTGCAGAAGGTGTCGACACTGTGATGATGGGTGCGTGGTCAGAGGCCTGCCCCCGAAACCGCGTGATGTGAGCACACAAATGACTTAGCCTTCCCACGCCCCACCGTTGTCCTCGGCGTGCCCACGGAGATGCTCACCCTTCTGAACTGCCCACTCGAAGGGGCCACGGACAGGCCAGAGGCGAGGCCTGAGGTGAACCTGCTCACGCACTGTGGTTTGCGCCAGGGTCACGCGGGGGATTGACACAGATGCCTTGAAGCAGAGGCTGGTTGTGATGCGTGATGAAGTATGGGCCCAAGCTCACCCATCGCTTCACGCTTACCGGCAGGTGACGTCGGCGTTTTAGGATGTACCCTCTGCCTGGGAGCCCACGGGGACGGGGCGGGGGAGAATGTGCGTGAAAGTCTTCATGTGGAGTAAGTGGGGAGGGAAGGACAGTAGGTGGATCTGGAGGAGGGAGGGTTTTAAGAAGCCCCGAGGATGTTTTTGGTTCTTTTGTTTCTCTTCTGGGTCCCACGCAGGGTGCTCAGCGGCTATTCTGGGCTCAGTGCTTGGGCGTCACTGCTGACGGATGCTCAGGGAACAGAACCTGGACCTCCTAACGCAGAGCAGCGGCTCCCGCCTGTTGAGCCATCTCCCCGGTCCTATTTTTGGTGCTTTCGTATTGTCAAGGGATGAGGAAATGTCTGGTCAAGGAAAGGGAACTCAGGAGAGGAGGAAGTTTCTGAGGCTCCTTTAGAGACCTGCCTCTGAGGAAAGGAAGTTGGAGGAAAAGGGGCGGAAGCGGCTGTCTTTTCTCTGTCAGGGGTGCAAACCCAGGGAGAGCTAATGCCATGCTTGCCCCTCTCTCTGTGGGATGTGAACACCTTCCAGAACAATCTAGAGAGTTCATTTAACCGCAATGAGGGTTCATTTATTTAACTGCTTTCAACTGCAGTGAAAGTCCCAGCTAACTAACACTTAGGTGCAAGAACCAAAGACTCTTTGGGAACCGAGTGGAGAGGGAGGTTTTAGACACTCAGTATGAGAACTGCACATGTTATGATAATGTAGAAGGTTAGGGAGAAACACAAAGACCAAGATGACAGAATAGAAAGCTGAGGTCAGCTTAGTTTATCATTATATGACAGAGGGGGGAAGGCTCTGGGGGCTGCCGGGAAGAAACCTGGGAACACAGGCTGTTTGTAGGTGTCCTTCGTACCCCTGAGATCGCACTGTTTTATACTTTATTTTTTTTTTAGTTTTAATGTTTATTATTATATTTTTTTGCTTTTTTGGTCACACCCAATGATGCTCAGGGGTTACTCCTGGGTCTACACTCAGGAATTACTCCTGGCTGGGCTTGGGGGACCCTATGGGATGCCAGGGATCGGACCCGGGTTGGCCGTGTGCAAAGCAAACACCACCCGCTGTACTATCACTTCCTCCCCACTGCTCTATACTTTAACTCCAAACTGTAGTTGATACGGAGTTCCAAGTTTCCAAAGTAAAATTGCAGAGATTTTAGAAGGAAATAGCAAGACTCTTACAATCATCCCAGGTTGTCTTGAGACAGATACAAATTACACAATCCATAAAGAAAGTGGATGCATGTGAAGGCATTCAAAGCCAAGAGTTTATTTTCATTAGAAGCCATCAAGAAAGAGAAAGACAAACTACAAATTGGGAAATGAGAGTTCACACGACTGTCAAAGGTTTAGATTAGAAGCCAGAGTATATAAATGGCTCTTAAAATAAAGGGGAAATGTTCGAGAAGAAAAATGAGCAAAAGATCTAAGCATTTTGCAGGAAAGGAAACACAGATGGTCATTTAACATTTAAAAGAGCACATAAAATGCCCAACCTCATTAACAGTCATGAAAATGCAAATTCAAGTCACAATTTCATTTTGCTCCCATCAGACTGGCAAAAATGTGAAAAGCCAATCAACGCAAGTGCTGGCAAAGGTGCATGGCAGGGCATCTCCGAGGAGAGGATAAATTGGAAATCTTCAGTGGGCTGCTGCCCCACGCCAGCAATCCCTAGATAAATATCCCAGAAGAACTCTTCCCAAGCACACCAAGGGACATTTACAGGAGAGTTCATAAGCTATGGCTTGCAGGAAGCAGCAAAGAACCCAAGTGTCCATTGGCAGGAAAAATGACTAAATTGTGGCACATTCCTATGATGAAATGCTTTGTAGCAGAGAAAGTGAATTAATTGAAGCCATATATATCAACAAGCTTGCATCTTTCTAAAGATGAAAGGGGAATAGGGAGAAACAAGTTTATTTTTCTGGGGGGGGGGGTGGCGTTTGGGCTCTCCATTCAGGAATTACTCCTGGCAGTGCTTGGGGGCCATACGGGATGCCTGGCATCTGTGGTTGGCCACGTGCAAGGCAAGCTCCCCACCCACTGTACCATCTCTTCACCTCCAGGGAAAATCAAGTTGGAGATCAGAGGTCCCATACCTACTGAGTTTGAAAAAGAATTGTATCATTTCTATAAACTAAAAAAAATTAAGACATATTTAGGAATACATAGCTACAAATGATGACACCTAAAACAAAATCCCTCTAACAGTAACATAAGGCAAAAGAATTATAGACAAGTGTAAGAAAGATATGGGGAAGAGGGTTTTGAGGGGTTTGTAAGGGTGGGGGAGAGGGAAGGGCGATAAGAATAGGGTGATTGAACGATGCCTGGGGTTTCAGTAATATTCTCTTAGTTGGAAGGTGGGCACAGGGATGCTTTGATTTTGTCATATTTTTTAACTCTGTAGTGTGTATGTATGTTATGTACTATTATATATAATCACTCGTATCACTTGTCATCCCGTTAATCTTCGAGTTGCTCAAGCAGGTGCCAGTAACATTTCCATTTGTCCCTGTCTTGTGCTAATGTAGCCCAATGGCATCTGCTGGCTCCAGGAACACGAAGAGCCTCAAACCATTTGTTCAGGGTTTTGACGGAGAAGTCTGGCCATCTCGTAGGTGGGCAGTCACACGTCCTTTTGACGTTCTGTGGAATCCAGTCGGTAATGGCTCTAGTCCAGCGGTCGTCTCTAAATCGCATTATATGTCCGGCCCATCTGATTTTTGATGCCTTGGCAAATGAGACAGTGTCCCTGATTCTTGATCGTCGATAGACAATATATAATATTATTATATATTACTATTTGCTGTATCACTGTCATTTCATTGTTGTCAATTTACTCAAGCGGGCGCCAGTAATGTCTCTATTCCTCTGAGCCCTGAGATTTTAGCAGCCTCTCCTTACTCATCTTTTCCAATGACTGGAGTCTCTTTCAGGGTCAGGGGAATGAGACTTGTTATAGTTACTGGTTTTGGCATATCAAATACACCACGGGGAACTTGCCAGGCTCTGCCCGTGCGGGCAGGATACTCTTGGTGTCTTGCTGGGCTCTCCGAGAGGCATATATATATATATATTTCTCTCTATGATTTGTTGCCTACTGTCTGAACCCCATCAAACATGGTGTGGTAATTATAGAAAATGGAAGTAGCTTATGATGTGTCCAGAAAGTGGCCTGGAGTGTGGCAGCAGTTGGGTAGTGGAGGTTGGCTGCCGGGGCTGGGTCCCTTGGGGTGGAAAGGGCTCTCATCTGCCCCCCTCTAGCCCCCCGAGTGAAAACAGCCTGGATATATATTAAAGGAACCAATGAAAATGTTTTAGTATAAGTGGCATTGGGAAATGGGCTTGAAATATTAAAATAAAGAAAGCATATTATAATACATGAACCATGGGCTGGAGAGATAGTATGGTGCGTAAGGCATTTGTCTTGCATGTGGCTGACTGGAATTTATCCCCAGAACCACAAATGGTCCCTGGGGGCCAGCTAAATGTAAGCTCTGAGCACTGCTGAGTGTGCCCCCAAACCAAAACTGTAAACCCTAACCAAAGAGCCAAATACATGACATGAACCAATGTTTTCTAAAAATTTCATTTCTATGTAAAAGTAAAAATCTGGAAAAAAAAATTTTAAAGCAGAGCTGAACTCTATAGTGATAGAGCTATAGATAAATTTCTTTTCAGTGTATGTTTAGTATTTTCTAAGGTGAATCTTTTTGACATAATAAGAAAAGCATAAGTTCATTAGATACAGAAAAGAGAGAGTTTTGATAAACAGTGTACAAATAAGAACGGTTAATGCATTGCCAGTTGCTAATAGCTTTTTAAAAGGCACCATTTTTAGTACTATTCCAGACTCCTGGAAAGTGGATCTAAAGTTGTATTTTGGCATTGGAGAGAATGGGAAACTTTGAGGCCTTTTTGTCCTTAATGATGGGTTTGGCTTGGGGCACTTGTTCCATGTGGGAAATAAAGATGTGCTAAAGATTCATTTATTCCTGTAACTGGACAAAACACAGGTAAGAGCACAGATGTCTTCCATATTTCTATTTCCCCTTTCTTTTTGCAGTTCCAATTACTTGTCACAGAATTTTCAGAAATTACAAAGAATTACCAACAGGCTAATAGGTAGCCGGAGTTCAGAGGCTGCCAGCTTCCCGGCAGCCAAGGTGAAAGGTGAGAGACCCCCCTCCCCCCACTACACACACACACACACACACACACACACACACACACACACACACAGTGACCTGGTGGGTTTCACACAGTGTTTGGTGGCAGCTTAGAAAGTATCCAGTTTCACAGCTGCTAAATAGCCCAAGAAGCTCCCCCAAGAAATGTATCAAATAAAGGGGTGTTTGGGGGGGTAGATCTTATTTTTCGCTCCCATCATGCATGAAGCAGAACACCACAGCCTCTTGAGAGCCCAGTAACTGGATTTGTGTCTTGTCCCTGAGGGAGAGTGGGTGAATGTCATGTGTTTATTCTCTGGATACAGAGCAACTTTTCCATTAAAAAAAAAAAGAGGAGGAGGAGGAGGAGGAGGAAGAAGAAGAAGAGGAAGAAGAAGAAGGAGAAGGAGAAGGAGGAGAAGGGAGAAGGGAGAAGGGTGAAGGGAGAAGGTGGGAGAGGAGGAGGAAGAGGAGGAGGAGGAGGAGTGGGGAGGAGGAGGGGGTGGAGAGAGAGAGGGAGAGGGAGAGGGAGGAGGAGGAGGAGGAGGAGGAGGAGGAGGAAGAAGGAGGAGGAGGAAGGAAGAATAATCTTGGCTCCCAGCTTCCAAGAGTGGGCCAACGCTGTACAACAAGCAGAAACTCTTGGCACGATATAACTTGCCTTTCCCAAAGTTCGGGTATTCAAGGGAAGCACACTATCCCAAAGAAATTCAATAGATCCTAAAGAAATTCAACAGGAACCCCGAACACAACCTTTTTTTTTTTTTTCCCAGAGACTGCCTTTGTTTTTGGACCATACTTGGCAGCTCTCGGGGCTTATTCCTGGCTCTGCTCTCAGGGATCATGCCTGGCAATGCTCAGGTACCATGTGTGGTGCCAGGGTGGTACCAGGGATCAAACCCAGGTCAGTTGTGTGCAAGTAAATGCCTTACCTGTTGTACTACTCCTGCCCTTGAGAGAGTGCTCTTTACTTATTTTTAATTTTTTTGTTTTTGATTTCTTTAGATGACAATTTTATTTATTTATTTTTTAGAGTACCACAAAGCCATTCTTGATTGGATTTCAGTCATACAGTCTTCCAACACCCACCCCTGCACCAGTGTACATTTCCCAGCACCAGTGTCCCCTGCCTGCCTGCCTCTTTGGTGGGCATATTTTCTCTCTCTCTCTCTCTCTCTCTCTCGTGTTTTTTTTTAAAGAGACAAACCCAGACATTTTCCTCCCTATCAGCTGTCAGAAAAGATTTCAAGGAGGGAGCTTATCCTTGGTTTACTCAAAAGAACCTGCTAATAAAGCGTCACTTATTTCCACATCTGAGAAATGGAATGAAACAGGGATACCCAGAGTGATGAACATTCCTTACCTTTCCTGCAGCTTCTTGAGTTTCTCGGGGTCTCCCTTTGTCTCAGGGTCTCCCTTTTCCTCTCCCAAGTCAGAGGCTGTTGCTCTGTTCCTATAATCATTTTGATCTGGGAAGTCTGACACCGCAAAGAAGGTAAAAGGGACATTTTCTTGCAGGGATGCAGGGACTTGCAAGTGGTCTTGCAAGTTCATCCTTGCTGGTGAGGAGCTGGTGGGCTCCAAGGAAAAGCATCCTTGAGGGTCGAGTGCAAGTTCTTCTGCATGGAGCGGAGCTTCCCTGGGCGGGCTGGTTAAAGCGGTGTCACCTGCTCTCCCGACATCTTGTTCTTGCATGCCATTTGCTGTAAAATAGCTTTGGTTTCCAATACCAGCCAACAGATTCCTGTGTCTAATGGGACACAGTGGCCGATGCATAAAATCCCTCGAGTTGACCTCTGAGCCGGATCTGTGAGCTGAGGTTGGCGCCAAGTCGACTGGCATAACGTGGCTCAGAGCAGAAGGCACAAACGAGCCCGGAGTAGGATAAGTGGAATTCAGGGATACTCTTGGAGCTGTTGGTCCCAAAAGAAAATAGTCCAGGGAGCTGCTGAAGCTGTTTAAGCAGGTGTGCCAGGACCCTCGGTAGCCCCGGGTGCCGGGCCTCTCTCCCCGAGAGGCAGTGTTCCAAGACGTGCTTTCAGCATGGAGGTTATTGTCGAGATTGCGGTGAGCTGTGGTGTGAGGGTTCTGCTCATGTTCGCCATCACTGCTGTCATCCTCCTTAGCAATGTCCCCCTTGGGCAGTGCAGGGTCTCTGACGGGGCTCTGCCCAGGGGAAGGCTGCCGTGCCTTTGACTCCCCTGCAGTGCTCACTCTTGTCTGGCCACGGCTGAACTCGCTTCTTGCTGGACTCTTCCTGCGAGTTTCAGGGTTTTTATCAAAAGGCTTAGTTTTGCTCAGAGCGGCTGAGGCACCAAGAAATCGGCTTTTCTTCTGACGGGAATGAGAGTGGGACGAGCACATGCGGGCCAGCAGGAGTTCTTCCTCGATGTGGGTTTCCTCTTCGGTTTCGTTGCCGTCTCCTCCAGGGGTCGAAGTCAGGATGGAACGAAAATCTTTATCTCGGAATCTAAACGGTGAGTTCCTAGGCCCTTCCAAGGTGGTGGCGGAGATGAGCCGTGACCCCAGAGGGTTGCTTGGGCCCTGGAAGGACTGGACCAACGGTGGGTGGAGCTCACTGTGGGGAAGAAGTTTAGGGTCTCCTCTTTTGCTTCTCTTGAGGGTACTCTCAGTCGTTGCCAGCTTCTGCGAGTAGGGGACTAAGTTTCTTCTCTCTCGCATTGGCCTCTTTAGCTTCATGTCCCCTGCCCAGAGTAGGCCTTCCTGTTGGACGGTTTGTTCTGTGGTGAAAAAAGACACAGCCGTCATTCTCCCCCCACAGGGAGTGACCCTTGAAGTCAGCCACGGGCCCTAGAGGACAGAAGCAGGGGAGGTCAGAGGCCTGGACACATGTGTGCAGGGCTGACTGGGCCTCTTCACTTTTGGCTTTTTTCCCCCATTTGTTTGTTTGTTTGTTTGTTTTGTTTTTTTGGGTGATACCCGGCAATGCACAGGGGTTACTCCTTGCTCTGCACTCATGAATTACTCCTGGTGGTGCTCAGGGGACCATATGGGATGCTGGGAATTGAACTTAGGTGGGCTGCGTGCAAGGCAAACACGCTACCTGCTAAGCTATCGTTCCAGCCCCCTTTCCCCCATTTTTATTATTTGTTTTTGCTTTTGGGTTACATTCGCTGACCTGAGTTGGATCCCCAGCATCCCCTATGGTCCAGGAGTGATTCCTGAGTGCAGAGCCAGGAGTAACCCCAGAGCATCACTAGGTGTGACACCCACTTCCAAAAAAAGAAAATAGAAAAGCAAAAAACAACCCCTACTGTTACTGAGGCTAGCCTCGTGGATGCAGGAAAGCTCACCCAGAGCCATAGTGCATTTCATGCAGGTCACTGGCTGCCTGGACAGGAGAAACAATGAGGCAAGGTGCTGGGGAATTGTCAGAACAACTCAGACATGTCTGCACTTCCCCAGTCTTCCTCTTCAGAAATCCAGCCAGCACTTCCCGGTGTGTGTGTGTGTGTGTGTGTGTGTGTGTGTGTGTGTGTGTGTGTTTCCAGTGAAGGTGGCAGACTGTGCCATTCTATCTATTTTTACCCTGTTGTCTATTGTTTATCAAAGAGGGAGCAGATTTCTGTTGCTCCAGGGCCGGGGAATCAGCCAGGGCTGTGCTATCCATAGATCAGGCCCTGCAGAGCTGCCTGAGGCCTCCCTGGCCCCAAGGGTTCTGGGTGGGACAGGGAGGGGGCCTGGAATTCCCAGGAGGTCAGCGAAGGCCGAAGGCCGCACCTCAGGGGTCTGCTCAAAGGCCACCTCGCAGCTAGACTTCATGGGTTTAAACTGTGGTTTCAGACGCTTTGTTCCTCTCATGGTTTCCTTCTGGTTGTGATGCGGTTGACGCTCATTGCAGGAAGTCTGGCAAATCCCGACGGTAGGAGTAAGCTGTGGGATCATCCCGGTCCAGAGCTCAGTGCCTGGCTGCTGCTCAGGGCTGCAGACTGAGTGCTCGGGGCTCAGCTCCCTGCTGAGGCCGTATTTGGTGGAGTTAGCACTTCCAGGTGGGTGTGTTCCGGTGACACAGGCCCCACTGCCCTGGCACATACTTTTTCATGCCCTCCTATACCCTGAAGGCACCAGAATTTATAGCCCAAGTAAACATTAAAACAAAAATTTGGGGGGTATTTGGGTAGATACAATATTATGGTTTGTTTTCTTTTTCTAAATGTTTTGTTAAGGGTGTTTTCTTTTGCCAAGAATTATTCTCTAAATGTACGACATTCATTTTGTATGTGATTTTCATTATATAGTATAAATAATAAATATATAAGTATATAATAATTTATTTACCTTCTCTACTCTCGGGGCTATTATATTATTGGGTATATACATTCTTTCAAGATTTTTTGGGAGGTCGTTTTTTGGTCTGGGGGTTACATCTGGCAGTGTTCAGTGCTTACTCCTGGTACTGTGCTCAGGGATCACTCCTGGCAAGGTTTGGGGGACCATATGTGGTGCTGGAGATGGAACTCTGGGTTGGCCACATGCAAAGCAAGTGCCCTACCTGCTGTCCTATCTCTCCAGCCCCTCTCCAGCCCTATTTTAAGCTTTGGCTGCCACAAATTACATAGTGACAATGTCCTTGCACAGACAGCTTTGACTACACGTCTTTGTTTTCTTAGAATAGATTCACAGAAGTGGAACTGCTAAAGGCATAAACTCTCTAAAGACTTTGACACATTGCCACATCCTAGGTGACACTGAATTAGCCTACATGGAGGATGTAGAAGCTTCTCTCCTAACTGGGTGGCCGGGGGAGCTTCCCAGGAGGTGCCTGCTGTGAACTTCTCTTCCCAGCTCTGAATCTGACTCTAAAGACTTACCCAATTGGGTGGATGAAACCAAACTCCTTGTGAATTCATTTTTTTTTCTTTTTGGGTCACACCTGGCAATGCACAGGGGTTACTCCTGACTCTGCACTCAGGAATTACTCCTGGCGGTGCTCAGGGGACCATATGGGATTATAGGAATTGAACCCAGGTTGGCCACATGCAAGGCAAATGCCCTACCCACTGTGCTCTTGCTCCAGCCCGTGAATTCAATTTTCAACTTGTTGAGTGGCATCCTCTTCCCTTTCAAACGCACTTTTCCCCCTTATCAAATTAGTCTTAGCTACCCAGTATTTCTTCTCCTGCGTGCCTTCCTCCATTCTCTCTGTTAAGGAGGTCTGTCTACCTTACTGATTTGCAAGAACTGTCTGTAGAGTGCCTCTTTGCCACACGTGCTTCAGATGGCTCATAGATAGAGTGGACAGTTTTTTTCTACTCTAACTTATGCAAACCACTCTAGAATGTAAGAAAATGAAGCGGTTACTGGGAAAAGTTAGAAGCCCTGGTATAACAGGAAAAAATGTTGACACGTTCTCAGCAGGTCTTAGGATGCCTTAGAATGCAGACAACCAAGGGATTTGTAGCCCTCCTGGACCCAGGCCCCATACATACTGTGCTGGGGGCGGGGGGTGGGGGTGGGGGGATGTGGGGAAGCTCAGCTTGCAAACATCTAAGAGCTCACTGAGGGTTGAGGAGGTGGCAGGAATAAAACTTACAATAGTTCGTGTTTGCTCCAGCTAAATCTGTGGATTACTCCACTTCACTATCCAGCAATGCAGTGCACTTGCTTTCATTATCCACCTTCTAAGACAAGGGAACTGTAAGTTGGGTGGCTACTTACTACCCCATGGTATAAAGAACCCGCCATCAGAGCGAGGTAGGTCTGTGCTGCCCGAGGAGGGGAAGGGGAGGGATCTTAGCTGTGACAGTGGTCCGAGAATAATATGACAATGCTCAGCTTGTCCCTCCTTCCTAGCCAACCCTACCACCTTCATCCAGATTTGCACTAATCCTCACACCCACAATACAGATGAGATGCTAGAACAAGGGCCCCTGTGTTCCCGGGTGGCAGGGAAGTGGGTGCCCTGGGCTTCCCAAGGGGAAGAGAAAGTCAAGAGGTTGGCCACCAAATGTCTCTTTCCTGGAGTCTCAGGACGCCTCCTTTGGTCCTGTTCCCTGAGCTAGCTCAAGACAGGCTGACGTTGGGACCTTAGGCAGAGTGCTCAGGAGGAGGCAACCAAACTGGACTTGTGGAAAGAGGCGTTGGTTTGTTATGATGTTATTTCTTTTTCTCTCTTCCTCCCCATCCCCCTTCCCTCCTTCCCGTCCTCTGTCCCTCCTCCTCCCCCTTTCCCTCCTTCTCATCCTCCCTTCCTCCCCCTCCCCCTCTCCCTCTCTCCCTTCCTACCCCCTCTCTCCCTCCCGCCTCTCACCTGTCTGCCCTCCCTCCCTCCCTCCTTCCTCCTCCTCCTCCTCCTCCTCCTCCTCTTCCTCGCTCCCTCCCCCCCCATCTCTCTCTCTTTCTTTCTTTCTTTCCTTTTCTTTCTTGTCATTGGATCATACTAGCCGGTACTTAGGGCTCCTCCCAACTTAGTGCTTAGGGACCAGGGTGTCAGGGGTGGAACCTGGGCTCCCCACATGCAAAGCACTTGCAGCAGCCCTTTGAGACATCTCCCCTGCTCCCCCTCCCACCCCCACCAACTCAGAGCCACACTCAGTCATACTGACAGAGCGACATCAAGGTGAAGACAAGAAACAGGTCCTCGTCTTACCTTGTCTTGCCTTCCCCCAACTGGCTTCCCTCAGCAAAGAAAGCCAGAGCCTGTGGTTTGCTTCCCCAAACCTTCCAAGCATCTCACATTTTAAGGCATGTGCACCTCCAGATAAAAGCACATGCAACCAAGCCGTCTGTCTTTCTCGGGATAGCAGCACCCGTCACTCCCATTCCTCTCTCCTGGGACCCAGACCCGGGCTCCGTGGGCCTCACCTGCTCCGCGGAGGGCCGACACCTTGACCGGCAGCTGGGCCTTCCGTCTGCCTCTGTCCCTTGCTGCTGCCGGGCTCTGCAGCTCCGGGCTGACGGTCAGTCTCCCCAGGTTCGGCCTCCTCTTCCTGTACAAAATCTGCGGTGCCTGGGCTGCCGAGAGGTGCAAGAGCTTTTCAGTAAGGAACTTGTCACAGGGAAAACTCTCCCACATAAAGACACTCTAAGGGCCCAGCCACAGGGAGGGAGGGAGGGAGGCTCAGTGAGCTGACCCAGGGTCTGAGAGGAGCAGATCTGAGACCTGTTCACTGCCTCCTCGGAGCATGTGAACTTGGGGGAAATCGCGTCGCCTCTCGAAGAATCAGTTTCCATCCCCCCCGCCCCCACCACAGAGTTATCACTACAGGTTTTTATGGATTCCCCCCCACCCCCGCCCAGTGCTGGGGATCAAATCAAATGCAGGGCTTTAAGTGTCCCCAGGCCTTAAGGTGATCACCAATATTGGACATCCGTGCCCCCTGCAATGCTTGAGTCTTTCCTTTGGCTAAGAAATTTCTAGGTTCCAGTTTGTCAATGTTGGGATGGACCTACTGGCAGCACTGCCAAGAAACTTCTAACCTTCTTCTGCCATGGACACGGGCCTCAAAGCCTGGCTTCCCAAATATTCTCCCAAAAGTTCAAGTTCACAGCTTTTGAAAAAAAAATTTTTTTTTGCTTTTGTCCACATTTGGGGATGTTCAGAGATCACTTCTGGCTCAGGGATCCCTTGTGTTGGGCTCGGGGGATCTACGGGGTATAGGGGTCAGACCCAGGTTGGTTGTATTCAAGGCTGCCTGCTGTGCTCTTGCTCCAGCTTCACAGTGTGAGTGAGTGTGTGTGTGTGTGTGTGTGTGTGTGTGTGTGTGTGTGTGCGTGCGCGCACTCACGCCTGTGTATTCATGGCTTCAGGTGGCTTATTTGTGGCTCACATGGCCTTTCAGAAAGCACCAGGCTTCTGGGAACCTCAAACCTTTCTTGCCTCTGAGCGACACACCGCTGGACCAAGACAGCAGCTGGGGCACTGCTGGCTGGGTCCCCACTGAACCCAGGTCTGCTTAATTCCTGTTCCTGACTAGGTTGCTCGTGGGAGTGCACCATGCCCATGTTTCTACTTCACCCCTGTGAAGTGCCAGCGCAGGGGAAGGAGGTTTGGTATTTTCCACTGCAGGTCTACAAGTCTCTGGGCTCGCAGAGGAATTAAACCGCAACTAACTAGAGGCTCCCAAATGAATGTGGACTTCCGCCCATCTTTTCAGGGGGAAAAAAATTACTCAGTGCGTTCCTGGAAATTTTTTTTTTCCTTTTCGGTTTTTGGGCCACACCTGGTGTGCTAAGGGCTTACTCCTAGTTCTGTGCGCAGGGATGGTTTGGGGGACTCTATGGGGTGCTGAGGATCGAATCTGGGTTGACCACATGGAAGGCAAATGCCCTGCCCACTGTACTGTCTCTCTGGCACCACCTTCATTCAGCCAACAGCACTTAAGCTGGTATTGTGTCCCCACATCATCCCAGCGTCCCCAGCCCCAGCAGGGCCCATGGCGGGGCAACATCTAGAGGCTTCTCCCCTCTTAGACAGTTGGGAGGTTTCCCAGCAGGCCACAGGGGAAAAGCTGGGCAAGGGGCTGGGTTATGTGAGAGTCACCAAGATGATCAGATGGGTTTCCAGAGGGAAAAACTCTCCAGAAAATGAGGCTGGTGGAAGGTTTGTGATCAGACATGGTTCCACCAACCACAGAAGAGATAGAGGGGGTGGTGAGATGGGCACCCCCCTCTACTCCCCCGGAGTCAGGGACACTGCACAAAGGCCCCGGGGCACCTCAGCCTCACCAGCAGCCCACCTCCAGCCCCGAGGCCTTGGTTTTCTTGTGGCGAGGCCTTCCTTCCCGGCTCTCAGTGATCAGAAGTGTTCTGCTGCCTCTCACTTGCTAGAGGACAGGCCAGGGGCTCAGGCCACATCCCTAATACTCAGGCTGAGATCTCTGGACCTGGCTCAAAGACCCAGTTCACCAGGAGGATCCCCACTGATTCCAAGCATGCATCGAGTGGAATATTCACATTTCCTTCATGCCCTCCCATCTCCCACAGATACCCTCTCAACCCACCCACCCCCTCATCACCTGAAAGACCCCGACCTTCCTTCCCCAGTCTGCACCCACCAAACAGTCCTTGGAAGACAGTTTCTAGTTTTCCACCCATCAAGTCTGTGCTGTCTCTGCTTTGGACAAAACATTCAAGATTCTCAGGACCTATGGCACTTCCATAGTCTAAGACTGCCTTAGGTATGTGTCCTTCCTGTTCAATACTCCTTGAGGACGAGGAGCTCATGAATTTCCCATCATTTTCCTGCAGGACAAAAAATCACGCTCAGTAGGATCCCGGGGCTCTAGAGGATGCATCCGGCTCAAACTATGAGGAATCCCTAAGGCGGAGACAAGGTTTTGCTGTATGAGACTTCCAAGATGGCCTTCAGAAGAGGTGACTGTGCTTCCCGGCTCAGAAAAGGGGCTTTCTTTAGTGCAAAGAGCAATGCGAAGGGTTCCTAAGCTGGTTTCCATGACCCCATTTCTTCTCGGATCCAGAGTGGGGTGAACTAAAGTAATAAAGCTGAAAGAGTGGGACTTGTTTCCGTTGGTCTGACCATGAAGTGCTTGCTGCGGCTTGTACGGACCCTCAAATGTTTGGAAAACCCAGACCTCAGTGCCTGCCCCTGCAGTGGCTGCTGTAAGGCCGAGCGCTCGTGTGCCCTAGTAGCGTAACTGGGAGGCTGGGGTCTCTGAGCTGCTGGAGAAATAGCTGCTGGCTTTTCTCTCACAGTGATAATCATGCAGTAATAATACTGGGAATCTGACATAACTCCCGTCAGAGAACTGGATTTGGCCAGAAATTTCACCCGTAGGCCTCAGAGGTTGAGGATAACATCTTCAGCTGCGTCATTCCTGTGTTCTTGCTTTCTCCCCTCAATCCTCACTGTAAAATCCAAAAGTCAAATAGCAGCTCCTCTTTTTCCGTTTTTTTTTCTGAATGTGATTTGCCCAACAGATACCTGTGCACCCTGGCTTTATGCAATAATTGTAGAGTTGTACTTGTCTTTGTTAGACAAGTAAGGTGCTTTGGTCATGACCTTCAGGAGCTTTATCTAAATTGGCTGCAGTGCTGACTCCTGCCCTGCGGTGTCCTTTGGGGTCTAATGGTGCGAAAGCTCTTGGGCACAATCCTTCCCCATCCAGGCTCGCAGCCCCAAGAGATGTGCCCCAGTGTCATAGGTCGGATGGACATGAATTCAAGAGTCTCAAACAGGGGCTGGAGCGATAGCACAGTACGGCATTTGCCTTGCATACAGCTGACCCGGGTTCGATTCCTAGCATCCCATATGGTCCCCCTGAGCACCATCAGTAGTATTTCCTGAGTGCAGAGCCAGGAGTAACCCATGAGCATCGCTGGGTGTGGCCCAAAAAGCAAAAAAAAAAGTCTCAAACAGCCTAGCGTGATCTCAATCCCCTATTACCTCCTGACCCCCAGCCCCCCAAGGGCAGGTGAGGCCGACCTTGGGTCCCAGTGACATTCTTGATGGGGCACATAGTCAGTCTCCAGGAGGACTAAGTCCTATTGGGAGATGAAGAACTTCCTCTTCAGGGATCAGTGGAGGGAAAAGTGGGGGGCAGGGGAAGCTGGGTTCAGCTCTGTCATGGGGACCCCACATCCTGAAGTGAGTTAGAGTCTCTGGGAAGACTGTGGTTGTCTATGGCTGCACAGAGCCCAAGGCCCCTGCTACTATCTCTGAGCAGGGGGATGTCTTGGGGGGGGCAAAGACACCAAAACAGTGATTTGGACACGAAGGTCCCCATTTGGGCCCCCGGACAATGCAAAGAACATGGCAGCACTGACAGAATGGTTCCTCACTTGGTGGGCAAAAGTGGGGAAGACCTAAGTGCCCTATTCATCCACGATGCTGATGATGGAGCATGAGTCCCGCTGACTGTCCACTTCGTGCAGGCCTGCCCCTGGCCACGGCCCTTTCTCACACCCCTGGCCACAGTGATTCCCGAGAGATGGAGTAGAAAAGACAACCCTGACGCCTCAGAGGCATCAAGATTGTCTCAGAGAAGCCTCCGTCTGGCTAGGGATCAAGCCCTTTGGCTTTCTTTGGCTCCTCTGGGCATCCTGAGGTGACACTGGGCACAGGTGCAGCGCCTGCCCTACCCAGAGATCTTCATGAAAGTCTGGTTAGGGACACAGATACATTTTCTTTTTTCTTTTTTGTATTAATTTTTACTGAACCACCGTGAGATAGTTATAAGCTTTCATGTTTGGGTTACAATCACACAATGATCAAACACCCATCCCTCCAGCAGTGCACATTCCCCACCACCAATATCCCCGGTATAACCCCCTTCCCCACCCTCCCTCTGCTCCATGACAGATATGATTCCCCATAATCCCTCTCTACTTTTGGGCATTATGGTTTGCAGTACAGACCCTGAGAGGTTATGATGTTTGGTCCTTTATCTACTTTCTGCACACATCTCCTATCCCGACCGATTCCTCCAGTCATCTTTTTCTTAAGTGATCCCTTCTCTATTCCAGCTGCCTTCTCCCCTTTGCTCATGAGGCAGGCTTCCAGCTATGAAGCAATCTATCTGTCCTGTGTAACAGATACATTTTCTTTTGGAATCCAGTCAGTGGGATTTGGCACCTATTCAGCAGGCTGGCGGGGGTGTGATAGCCCACCGAACCCTCCCACTCGTCATCCCTCCTCTGTGCACTTCTGAACAGGCCTCCCCTGACCCATCCCTGCCCCCACAGCCCTCAGGGCTGGCTCAGCGCCGGGCCGCAGTCGCCTTCACCCGGGTGGGATCAGACATCAGGCGTGTCTGGGGTCAGCCCTGTTCAACTGTGGGCCGGATGCAGGAGCGAAGAAATCAAAGGAGTCTTGAGAGGTGACGGGACTTTATTGGTCATTCGCTCCCGAGTGCTAGAGGCTTGAGGGAAGTGGCAAGCAGCGTGTCATCGTCCTGCTCCCTGACACTCCTGGTGACACTGGGGTGTGCTCTCCGTCCCCTCCCTGCCGCCTGCCTGCAGGAGCCTGAAGTTCCTGCCCTAGTCCTCTGTGCTGT